CGCGAGCGAGGTGGGACAGACGGAAAGGGCGGGAGGACGGCGCGGCGTGGATAAAACGGAGACGGCGGAAATCGGTCCCAACGCTTTTCACGTCGATGCGTCGAGTGTGATACGTTGCACGCGCGATCATTCCGCCGCCACGCTCGCGCCACTTCCGCGCGTCAAGCTTTTCCTTGAGAGCGCTCGCGGTAATTTGATGAAAAAGTGGCCCCTTTCACGGCCAACTGCCGCGCTTTATGAACCAGGATGCGCGGAAAAAAATTTCGCTGCCCCCGGGATCGCGTCTTTTCAGCATGAGCGATATGAAAGGCGAGGCTCGGCGCGATAGTCGGCGGGCCTGTTGTTAACTTTAACGGAATTATGCTCGACGAATGAACCGGCTCTCGGTCTCTGCGAATTAAAGGGGAGATTTGTGTTTTTGTGAACCGGATGTCGGCTGGAGAGGAGCGAAGATAATTTCAAAGTGAACATTCGAATGGATTCCTCCGGGTTAAGTTTGTTAGTTTATACAGTTTACGTACAATTGTTCACGGGGACGTAGCAGAAGGTTTTACGACGCGACGGAAGTTTCTGTACGGATGTAACTCGGAGTCGGAGCACAATGGACCGAACGGGGAATTACGTTTCAAAGGAACCGTGACAAAGAACATCGAGGCACGAGTTCACTGACGGTCGAGAGGAATTAAGATAATCTTCCCGACGCGAATGGAGGTCGCGAAGAATGCCGGGAGCAAATATCGCGAACCATTGCCGCGGCGAGGCCGAAGGGATCTCGCTGGAGGACGCTCGAGCGTTGCAGCTCGTCGGTGCTTTCGGATCGCGGGCTGCTGCGCAGCTCGCGTAATACCGGACGGAAGTTCAGGTTAAACAAGAAACGAGCGTCGCGGCGCGACGGGCGACGGGATTATTGGAAACGTCGCGAGCGAGACGCGTGTTCGCGACTCGTTAAAAGTTCCCGAGGATCGTTTCTGGCCTGGATCGAGAGCGTCGAGAGAAGTTCCGAGCGAAATCCCTCGTTACGATTAAACGCCTGTTAGGGGATTAACGCGCGGTCGTTGATCGATCCTCCGTTTTTCTCGCGGCAGCTGGATTGATCTTAATTGATTTTCGTTGTCGGCCCGTGCCTCCGCTGTCGCAGTTCCCCCAATGAGATCCAGGCGACCTCGCCGACCAAAAAAGTATCAAATTTTCAGTCCGTAAGTACCGATAATCTCACGTTTGAAATGCCTGTAATTTCTTCCGATTTCTGGCTGCTGTCTGTCCGTTACCTTCATCTCAAGTGCCCGAAACAGTTCCAGTTGCAGTTTAAGCCCTAATTCTCGTTTCTAATTCCCAATCTCAACGGAATCTCGAATTTCGCCGCTCACATCGCGACCTTCCACACGGAAATTTCAACTCTCGCCGCCGAAGGGTTGCCGGCGGAAGTTGCTAGTCGCTTCGCAAAGGTGCTCGAGAAAGAGATAAAACAATTTTCTCCGTGGAGAAACTTACCCTTCTTCAGGACGTAGATGCAGGGGTGGTCGAAGAGGAAGTTCTGGAAGCTGTTGCAATCCGGGTCTACGTGGGGCTCCCTGCAGAGGCACGTGGGTCGGAAGAAAGGGAAAGCCTGCAAAGTGTGCAGAGCCGCCTGACACTTTGTCACTGTCACCGTTGAACAAGCCACTGGAACAGAGAAATAATTATTATTAAGCTGAGTCGCCTATTCTTGATGACAAACACCATTTCTTGTCGAAACTTCCGCGGAATGAATCTCTCGGTTAACTACGCGTTCAAAATTCTTGAATTGTCCGATTAATCAGTTCTCCAATTTTTCTCTGGCCTTTCGTTTCCGTCTTCGCTATGAAACATTCATCGTCTAACTCGTTTACCTTCATTTTGCAACCACTTGTTTAACTGATTTATACTAGCGGCACAACAACTTGTAGCAGTAATACAATTTACCGTAAGTTCGATATTCAAGAGCGGAATAATTACAATACAAGAGGATAAATATACTCCACTCGTTTATTCAGCATAATTTGATTAAGGCTGTAGTACGAGGCATTAATTTGCCCCATCAAGTAAGACACGTATCCTGTGGGAGGAACTTCGCCGTTAAGTCGTTTCCCAACCTAAGTTCGGAAAGGATTATATTTCATGCGTAATAATTGCTGGGTGGGGCGAGTGGGCCAGCTATCGACGATGCTTGCCAGCGAAGACCGCGGAATCCCATCGAGAAATTCGCTGCAACGGGATCCGGAAGGCTCGACAACGAGATTATCGCGCAAGAATGGAAAGCTCGCGTTACACCGCAGGGAGCAATGGCGAGTCCTGTGCTTGGATAACCGACGATAACACTTCGGGTGACTCGAATCGTTCCAACAACGACGACAGAATCTTCCATAGCCTCGCTAACCAGCGACTCTAACCTTTCTACAGAAGCTACGCGAATGAAAATGTCTCGGACGCGTGATAATTGGTACTAATCACGTAGAAAACGGATAAACAACACCAGAACTACCAGACGGAAGAATCCGACCCATTTCAGAAGGATTATCTTACAATTATCAAAAATCTATAGAACGTTCGATGAGAACTTAAAATAAATTCTTAAGTAATTCTAATTTTTGGAAATAATTATTAAGTCAGACTACTTCTTCGGTAGTTCTATCGTTAGTGAAAGTTGATTATTTTTAACCCTTTGCGCTCCAGAGGCGCCTCTAAGTCACCAAATGACTTGAAACAGCAAAACTGTAAACTTTGATATTTAATATTAAACTTTGTGTAATGCATCAATGTAATATTGAAAGGAAATAATTCTCTTCGTCAATGCATGTGAGATTTCTTAATTCAATCTGACAAAATGTCATCTGTATCTCATTAGAAAATATTGAATATTTCCGGTGAAAAACTTCTGGAGTGTAAAGGGTTAATACATAGAATATTTGAAGGTCAGCTGATCAAGTCCCAAGAATTTCGAAAATCTTCCACCAACAAGCATCGCCATTGATTCGCTTATAATCCCCACGAAATTAATCGCCCCCGAACATGTCCGAAATTCGTTCGACTCACGGTCGGTTTCAGCCGGAATCGAATCGATCTGAAAAACGAGGTACGAGCTCCCGGCGCAGCGGGTAGTCGTTGGGAAGACGGCAAACGAAAAGTCAGTGCTCTATCTTAAATTAAACATTAACTTCTGCCTGCCGGAGTGTTTTACTTTTCGCTTTGTAGCCCGAACTCGTTCGAGCGATCTTTTTCTCCGTGCCGCTCGTCGGCGGGGCCTCGCGGAAAAATTAGGTCGCGACGTTTAGCGTCGTTCCCATTGGAACTTTTTCTCGAAAATATCTCGATCCGAACGCGACCCGGTATTGCTCGAGACATCGCTGGCGCGAATCGCGATGCGACGTACAGAGGAAAGTATCGATGTTCCTAAAATTCAATTTTTCATGAAGAGACTATATGATTTATTCAATTAAAAATGAATCATTTAACAAGACACGTGACAGGTTCCTCCAAACGTAATGAATAAATATAAGTAATTCTAGACGTTAAGAATAAATTGTATATGGTAATAATATAGCTTGAATAATTATCTATACAATCTTCATTTCTCTGTGAAATTACTCGATATTTCATTATTACCGGAAAATCAGCTTATCCTCGTTTATTCAAACGTTACAGATTTTCGACCAGTGAAACAGCGATGTTGTCGCAGACGATGCGCGACGCCGGGAAACACGGTTGAAACTTCGCTCGTCATTTTTCGATCCGACGTTCGACACCGTCGACGACTGCGAGGAGAACAGGAAAGACTACGACATCTGGATTCATCGGACGAACTCTGCCGCAGCGACTCCCGGTTATTACGGAACTTACGGTGTCTTGGAATAGTAATTAAGGCGGCCTCTCCTGCCCATTCTTTCGCCGAACGACGTTGTACTAATTAATCTGCGTGCGGGTGGAGCCTCCCCGGCCGGGCCGGGAAAGCGAAAAAGAGGAAGGCTGAGAACGTTTTAACGAGGGGATATATTTTAAGCGGGCGGGATCGTCGCGCGAACAATTCCCAGCGACGGTCGATCTTCCTCGTCCCGTTTCTCATGCAAAAATCATAACTCCGCCCTTAATTGAAATGAATAAATTTCGTAACGCGAGGTTATTGCGTAGTCTGGCTTGTTGATATTCGCGGCAGATTCGTCTACGGATTGGAATTAGCGGAATTAACCGTCGGCTGCGCTGAAAGGATAAGGGCTAACTCGATAGTTTCGTCTAGCTTTGATATACAACGTTTTAGCGACGCTTTCGGCGAAACTGTGTAGGGTGTTCCTCCGTCCTGCGATGAGAGACGGGACAGAGATGTCGAGAAGAAAGTGGGATAGGTTTAGAGAGGATAACAGGGCCTCGAATAAAGGAAAGCCATTTTACCAGCTGATACGAAACTAATGCAATTTACCGCGGCTGAAATGAGTTCAGCGATCTAAGGTAGACCGTAAAGCGAACAGTGCGAATCGAAAGTTAGTTGTATCAACAAAAGCTCAAGCTTCGCCGTAACTTATCTTTACCTATCTTCAATTAACCAAACTTCAATGGTTAGCTAAATTCTAGCAGAACGTTCGCCCAGTTGAACCTTCCAGGATAAATCAACCGAATCCGTTCGACCAAAACGACCCGCTAAAAGACACGCGCGAAACACGGAGCACTGAAGAAATCCACACACCGGATTACGTTCGACTGTCACGGCGGCCGCGGAAGTAAATTAAAAGAGTGGGAACCCGCTACGGACCGTAAAAAATATGAAAAATATTCGACGCGGTTTACAGCCGGCAGCAGACAGTCCGTTCGGTATCCATAAAACCGACATAATTAACGGATTAACCGGCGATTCCGTTCCCGTAAATGGGTCAGTAAAAACGGCCGAGGGGGGAGGGCCGTGTAAAACACGCGACGTGTTATTTCGCGGGATTAAATCGATACGGCGGCCCGTTGCGATGCACGGTGTTGCACAAAACCCCGGATCTGGAGGCTGCAGTCGCAGCTGGAGTGTCGCTGATATCATTCTCTCCCTCCCGGGCCTTTCATCCCGTGTCTTTCCCTCTCTGTCCGCCGTTTAACGGTTTGGCGGTCGCGCCTATGGGGCGCGCGAGTCCTGCATGGCCACCGGGAGATAGCGACTTCGAGGACGCCGGACTATCGCGGAGGAGCACGGGAATGGAAGGGGAACGAGAGATGATACGTAGGTAGGTACATACGTTCGTACAATCGTGCGGTGGCCATCTGCATTCTGCGAGCCGGACCGGCGACCACTGTCCGAAACACGCGGCTGTGTTTCCACGGAGCGCGCAGGTGATGCCTCCGACTGTATTCACAGCTCGGTCCCATCCCACGGCCGCCCTTTCGCCGAATAAAAGTTCCCGACCATCCGCGCGACCCCGATCCGAATTTCTATTGCGGTTAGTATGGAATTAGCAGCCGCCGCTACGGCTCGCGCGAGGTACTCCTCGATGCCGCCTCTTGGAGCAATTATTTATTCATTGGCAGCGCAAAGTGGTTTTATTAATAGAGGGAAATGGAATTGGATCATCGTTAGGAGAATGGAATATTATTCTTTCGTCGGAATAGAATGTTCTTTGATTGTGGAGTGTGATGTGGGATGGAAGATGGATGAAGGAGCTTTTTATTATTTATATGGATTGGAAAAGTTTGGTGATTTTTAGTGATATTTGATTTCACGGTTTCATCTGATCATCGTAGATTCATTGGATTGATCTTTATTAACACTAAAGCTGCCAAATAGGTTACAATGATCTATTCCTGATTTCTTGTTTTAAAATCACTGAGAAGATACTATTATTAAATAATTTGATTTGGTAATGTACGAAGTAAATTATAAGCCAATGAAAATCTAAATAAATACACTCTTATAATATTTCCAGAAGAATAAAAAGAAGCCAATTTGACTGCTCGGTAGTTCTAGTGTTAATGAATTTTAGGTGTCTATCATGGATGCTGTTCAATTTGAGAAGAGTAGTAGAGAATGTTGACTAGGCTTCTACTTTTTTAATGGTATGTGAAATGTACGGAGAGAGCATGTCAGGGTTAAAACCGTTTTAATACGCCGCAAGGGTAGTTTGGGAAATTTATATTCCAATCGAGGCAATTTCTTCGAACAGATATTCGTTGATTTATATATCTGCAGACGTTCGGAGGTGCAGTTGAGAAAGCTGAGAATCGCCGGGGTATCCGGCGATTCGATTGGCAGACTCCTTTCTTCCCGGCAAATTGCTCTGCGCCCCTCCCCGACGGTCTCATCATTCAATCAAACGTTTTCTTCGTGGCCACCGCTGCATCATTAGTCTCGCTAAATGAATGTTCTTTCGCCGGCGGGAAGAACGATGGCGCGGCAAGAAGCCCGGTGTTTTGTAGAATTTTTATAACCGCGCGGTGAATCCTCGCCCGGCCAAGGAATCCACCGTGGGAGAGGTTTCATTAGAAACCGGGCCGCATTATTTCGCGAGCAACAACTTGAATTGGCGCGGAAATGGCCGGGTTCTTGCGACAGGTAACGACCCAATTATATCGACATCACGACGAGCGTCTTTTTGCTTACGGCCCTGTCCCCGCGGAACAAATCCTAGCACAGACATTCGGAGCCAATAACCATTTTTACTCGAGTTCTCATTTTCGTTAAACCGGAATCCGAATGCTAACATTTATTCGCCGGCCGAAATCCATCGGTAAAGCAAGAAATATACCGTTGCCGGCGTGACGCTAATACAAAAGTAAAATGAAAGAAGAAATATACGCACATTACTCATATTAACGTATTTATTTCCCGTTTCCACTGCACAGATGCGTCCGTTTTCCTCGATACCGACCACAAATTAAATCCAGGAAACGAACGGTGCTCCCGTTGTTTGTCACGGGACAAGACATAAATTAGAATCAGGACGTTGTCGAGGGGAAAAAGGCCGGGGAAAGGCCAGTGAAAAGCTGCCGCGGCGATCCCCGTGTTCCGTGGTATCGTCGTTTATTCACGAATCAGTTTATCGATAGTTCCTAGAGAGCCGGAAACATCGATGCC